CTAAATGGCCAGGGAGGCGAAAATGAGGGCTTAAGGGCCTTTAAATAGGGTGCAATCCCTAAAATTAGGGTTTTCTCAATACAGACTCAACTCGTCGAGTCCAACCCTTCGAATCGACGAGTAGGCTTCATAACCCGCGTGGCCAACTCAACCCCTACACGACGAGTCAGGACCAACCAACTCGTCGAGTAGGTTCTCCAAAGTGCATTATAACTCTTAAATTTCTCATCCAGGATTCGGGGTGTTACATTTCTTGCTCATTCCTTGTTTGGTTGTGGCTTTAGAGTATGATCATTTGTTTGGGTGGTTATCTCACATCTAGTTACTTATGGTTATGCATTCCATGGAGATTAGTTGGTAGTGGAGCAGTATGATGTGAGGGGTGTAGTAGGCAGTAGTTAGCTGTATGATTGATAATTGTATGTATTATGTGCCTACTTGATCCTTGATTGTTTTTATGTCGACATATGGTGGCATATGAATCATTCTAGCCGTGAGACTATGGGCCGATGGTATTCCAATCCGATGACTGAGGATCCGATATGCATGCTTGTTTGTTCGTTTCGTGGGGTATTTTGGGGGAACTCACTAAGCTTTGTGCTTACCTAACTGTTATTGTTTTCAGGTATCATCAGTTATCATGGGAAAGAGAAGATGTGGTTGTACATATTCATCAACAACAATGAAGATTCTGTGTTACTATATTACTTTGATTTTCAACAAATGTGATTTGGAATAAACAATTTTCCTAATACATATTTTATAATGTGGGGTTTTACCTAAATAAAAATTAAAATATTTGATTGTGAAAATTTGACGTTACATTATCACAATATAATAATATGAAACAAGAAGGAAGATGAATGTTTGATATGGAGCTTTAAACAAATTAACAAAACCTCTTGCTTAAAGGTTTAACCACATCAATAAAATCTATCATATTCGTTACCTAAGACTATTTTATTTAAGTATTCTTTTCTATTCAATTTTGTATGGAACCTTTCTTTTTTGAATAATTTAATGGGTAATTTAGATTTGTAGATTACTAAGCAAGTATTAGCAGATAAAAAAACAGGGGGCCATGCCTGGCCCCAAAGGGATCCGCCACTGGTTGTTTTGGTTATCATCGTCAATCACGTAACTCTGTTGCTTAATAATTTTTTGAAAATAACTGATTAATAATTATGATTTTTAATTATCAAAATTCATTTTATTTTGTAACTGTAGTTCACATGGATTATAACATAGTAAAAATAATAAATTAGTTAGGTATAATAACATTTTGGAGTTTGACATAAATCAAAACCAAAACAAAAATTCTTTTTTAGACCAAATGATTGATTTTTTTTAACGAATAAAAAAAAATTCAGAAACAACATGGAGCATTTTTAGTCTTTTCTCTTTTCTTAATACTAAAAAAACAACTACTAAATTAATTCAAGCACCGATTCATAAAAGTTATCTGTTTATTAATTGAATTTCGATTATAGGAAAAGAATTCAAGCACCAATTCATAAAAGTTATATTTTTATTAACTGAATTTCGATTATAGGAAAAAAATAATACATTAATTCAAGCACCAATTAGGAGACATCATCAAATCCACAGCCCGCTCAATGTTCGTGAAATATATTGAAATATAGCGCCCTTTCCTCATTGCCCTTTTTACACCTTAATTTCTCGCAGTGGCGGAACTTAGTGGGGCATTTGGGGTCCCAGGCCACTGCTCAATTTCCGGCACGCAATGTAAATTTTTTTTTTTTGGTTTTTTCTATTAGGTGCACCCGTTTGAAGTACAAGGGACACCCCTATTAAAACAGTATGTGTCCGCCACTGATTTCTCGATCTCCTACAGAAAAAACAACGAGTAAGCCATAGTCACCTTCTTCTCTCTTCCTTACGATCATCACCGGAGAAAAAGTGAAAAACCACTGCCGATTGTCCTCTATCACACTCCTTCTGGCTTAAGTTTAACACTTTTTTTTTTTTTTTTTTTGAAGTGGTATTTTGTTTCGTTTTTTATTCTTACATTTATACAAATTGCTTTAATATACTTTATTTGAGTTTGATTTGTTTTCCTAATTAATGCAACGATAATTAAGGATTACAAAAAAAAATAGAAAATGCTATATGTTTACATGTTTACAGGTGCCTACCCCTTGTGAATTGGTGTCTCTTGATGTGGATATGAACTAAAATGTTGTCAAATGGTTGAACGAACAATACATCTCAACAACTGAAAACTTATAAGAAAAACCTATATGTATTTTTGATTAATTGTTTCTTTTTTAATTCATAGGAGTCCCGAGTCTGATGGAAATAACGTTGTGAGAAACATCATCTATGGTCTTGGAGGAAAAAGTATCAATATTAGAAGACGATTAATTAAACACTTTGTTTTACTCATGATTGCATACTTTTATTTTCCATCTTAACAAGCTCATGACAATATTTTCCCAGCATATGGTGAAAGAACGCCGACCAGTGTAGCATTCCACTTCCACTTTTTGTGGTATGTTTTCTATTACGCTTTACAATATTAGTGTTTTTTGGACAATGTTCATAGTAAATAGGCTATATCTATTGTTTCTTGCATACAATCATTTGACAAGGTTGTTTATCGGTCCTTTCAGGAAAGAATTAGATTGATATATTGGTATGGCTTTTATCAGGCTTCCATTTCTAGGAATGTCCAATGTAGGTTCCTACTTCCATTTATTGTGGCTTACTTTTTAATGTATTTTTGGTTTAACTTTTATTTTTCAGTTTACTTATTAGCACCCTACTTATATTTTCTGTCCAATATTGGTTTAGTTTTTTTTTTTTTTGATTAATCTGTTGGCTTATTTGTTCAATATAGCATCCTTCTCCCAATTTCTATGCAGTAGAAAGTAATGTCCAATGTTTGTTTTGGTTTTCATTTTTTCTCCATTCGTTTTCATTTCTATTGATATAACATCCTACTTCTATTTTTTGCTGCATAAGTGGATGTAGACATGGAGTATTATACACCTCATGGTGCCTATTTTTGTTGTGGGAGATTGAGGTTGCTAACATTGATTATGATTGTCGAAAAATTGTAATAATCTGTTTGGTCCTTTTGCTTTAGTGATTACTGATATTATGTTGAATATGATAAATAGTTGGGGAGTGATGTACATGTGCCCAAGATGATCATGTTCGAAGACTACGAGACTAAGGGTTGCAATATTGTATGTATTTTTAATATTTTTTTGTTTGTGTAAAAGCCCATTTTCATTCACAGTTTGCTTAAATATGCTCTGTTTTCTCTTGGTAGGTGTCGATAAGCTTGATGGACATTTATCAACAAGAAGCCTATGAGTCTTTAGGTGCGCATCTAGTTTGATCGGCTTGTATATATTGGGGTGATTCAAGTGTGCAACATGAACAAATCCATGATTGTCGGAAGTGGGGTGTGGCAATGAGATTGGTGTCAAAATCCTTCAATACGTGAACATCTTGTTAAGGTTGGATCCTAGTGTTAGTGGATGTAAATATATAAAAATCCATTGAAAATTAATTAAAGGATTTCGTTATTTAGGTATATTAAGTGCAAAAATTGAAATGTAACAATTGTAAAAGTAACTGTCTTGGTATTGGGTTTGTAGATTTAACAAAAAAAATATAAAACAATCATTGAACAGACCCGGTTGCATAAATAAAAACTTGGCTATATGATCAAACAAGATTTATCTGTGACTTGCATGATAGAACCCGGTTGTATGCATGTGAACCGGGCTATATAGCCATATAGAACACATTGTCTTTCCAGACTAAGAACCCGATTTTATATAAAGGAACCGGGTTGTATTAGCTTAATAAGTCCCGATTTTAAAAACGGGCTCTATTCAATTTTACTTATAGGACTCGCCCCATAAAAGACCCGGTTGCAAACCGGGTTCTTTATAGTATTTAACCGGGTCCTTTTAGCATTTTTGTGGTAGTAATTTGTATACAAAATTCGTGATTCGCACCGTCCTACACGTGCATAGGTGTTAGAGTAAAAACATGCATAGAAACTTGTAAACCTATTATACGTCTATGCTTATAAAACCATTAAGAGCTTGCTCATTTTCTATTTTCCTATATGGGACACATTCTCACTCACTTTATTTGCTATCTTTAATTTCAAATACTCATCTTCGAGCATCGTTATCCCATTCATACATTTTCCATTTTGGACACAACATATATTGTTTCGAACCCCTTACGGAGAAGAACATAACTCACGAAGGATTAAAAAATATATATAATATATATTTATATGAGTCCAAAGTTTAATAAAAATACATAATTTTTATGAAAGTTTTCAATAGATAATTATCTTTAAATTTGGGAAAACAAAATTTAGTTAATGCGATTGGATGTACTACTTTTTGGTTCATTTGAAGATTCGTGAAAAACCAAGTATCTGATACGGGAAAACTTTGGCAAAGTGATATCGTTGATTCCATTCAATATTTCTTGTTTTTGCGGTTTTTGAATAGATATAGTAAATATACTTTCTCATGGATTAATTGCTTATAGAACCCATTAAACTTTTTGTAATTATTTTAGCTTAACTTCTTGCTAGGGCTCTTTTTTGGTTTTCTTTGTATAGCTATGATAGGAATTTTTTATTTATTTATTTATTTATTTATTTATTTTTTAAATTAATCACGGTACAAAGTTCACTTATAATAATTAAAACTGAAGGTTTATTAGGTAGTACATAATAACACAAATAACTATTGAGATAGTTACAAATACACAAACATAAATAACTTTTTCATACATATAAACTACATATACGATGGATACGTATTAACAAAACCACTCCATATATAACATTTATTTTATCATGCACGTTTACAATAGTCACTTGTACATTTGTTGCATATAGTAATCAGGCGGCACAATATTTTTCATACCTTTACTGGTCACACTCATTTGACCATACGGTCGTGGAGCAACGTTTTGATGAGTGGTGGTAGTCCCGGTTAACAACGCCGGACGTATATGAGGTTTTGAAGGTGGCAAACCATAACCCTCATAAACTCTGTCAGCGGTGGGTGGGAAGTATTGCGCCAGTTCTCTATTGAGCCAATAGACAATGGTTGGTCATAGGGGTTGTATTCATAAGTGGCAGTGTTGATCTGTTTATGTGTGTTTTCTTGGTGACGGGCGAAAGCTTGAAACGACGGAGGTTGAGCAGCGACGTCATGAGTCTGGTTGCCTGTAAGCGAATTAGAAATGGATCGAATGTCGGAAAGTGATTGAACATAGTGGTCTTGAAAGTCTTGAATATGATAGGGGTTATCCTGATCCAGAGTTCTGATTGCCGAGGATGAGAGCGAAGGGGGAGCTAGAGAATACATTTTTTACGGTGTGCAGGTTGTTTGGGAGTTATGGGGATGTGTACATAAATATGGAGATAAAGTGGGAGTAAAGGGGAATCCTAGTATAAAGTCTGATGGTCCTAAAAAAACTACTTTTTTATTGCCTAATTTTCAAGCGAAACCAAAAATAAATCTCTCTTCTCTCTCTCTCTCTCTCTCTCTCTCTCTCTCTCTCTCTCCTCTCTCTTCTCTCATCTCTCTCTAGATATATATATATATATATATATATATATATATATATAGTAGGCGAATATCTACGCGTTGCGCGTAATAAAATTATATAGTTATCCTTTTAGTAATCATATGTCATTGAAAATATATTTGTCATTTATATTAACTAAAAAATAATTATTATTATATTTAGACATTTAGTTAATTTGAACCATAGATAATATAATGCTTACCAAAATCGAATCATTTAATGGTATCTACTCACACTTTACGTGTGTATAAAATTAGTTATATTTCTTATCTATTTTAATTAACTAATGTAATGATTTATTAACTTTAAAGAAAAATTGATGACATTTTAATTTCATGATGATGATTATTTAAATTATCAATCATTGTTTGTGATGTAACATAATTTAATTTATAACTTTATGTTATTTTAACTATTATCGTAGTATTATTATAAATTAACTTTAAAAAAACTTAACTGAATTTCAGTTATTATAAAAAATAGTTTTTGGAGATCTTTTAGTTAATTTTACTTATAGATTTATGTTATTTTATGTTTACTGTATTTAATATTTTCCATTTAACTCTTATAAAAAATATACATTTAGTTTTTTTAAAAACTTTCTTTGATATTTTACTTTAAGTTTTAATTTTTACACTATATTTTTAAGTTTGTATGATATATTAATTTAGGCTATGCATTTAACACTATATTGAAGTTATTGATAATTCAAGAAGTCTTCCATTTATGATAATATTAATAGTTAATAACATATTTAAGTTACAAAGTATATTATAGAGAAATATGAAAAGTTGAGAGTTTCAAATTGATGTGGTGAAAGGAAAAATGTTTCCTTTATAAGTATAGTATGATATATAGATATATATATATATAGATATATATATATATATAATAATATATATATATATATATATATAACAGAGAGAGAGAGAGGAGGGTTCAATTGAGAAAAAAAAAGGTTTGAGAATGGGGGAATCATTCACAGCCAATCATTTAATTAGCATCTTAACATAAAATACACGGTGTCAAACTTATAAATATGATATGATATCCTTCAATCACAGATACGTAACTGTGGAGAATTTGATAACAATTCAAATTCATTACTACTCGATCGTTCATCATCTAAATTTCTTCTCCAACCTTCAACGATCATCCATATTTCTTCAATTAAATCTCAATCAACATCATCCAGTGTTAATCAATCATCCATCTTCGTCAAAAACACGTTCATCAACATCATTCAATAGTAGACAAAAAAAAATTGTTTTTGGTTCTTTCAATCCAACCTTCAATTATGCTTCAATACGAGCATATCTTCAACATCTACGATTAATTATACTCCCAGTGTCATTAGATCAACATCATCGATAATCAACAACAGTTTCACTTCATATCATTCATTCAACATCGATCATCAAACAAAACTTCAAAATTAAGGTTACAAAAACATCAAATCATTTTTTTTTGAAAAATTTCATGTAATTCTCTATCAATCTACTATTTTGTAAGTTTTAAATAGTCAAAGTATCATGTTTTTAGCATTTTTAAAAAAGCTTACTTGTATGCACTCCAACTGTTTGATGAAATGCATAAACTAAATTACCACGTTATATTCACATATGAATATGTTTTCGCACCTTAATCAGTATATGATTATTAAAACACAAAACAAATATACAATTTTATATGTTATTCATATGTGAATAACAAATATAAATTATATATATATGTGAATATACCTTGTAGTATTCATATGTTAATATCCTGTGTAATATTCATATGTGAATAAACTGCGTAATATTCACATATGAATATACCATCTAATATTCATAAGTGAATATATCATCTAATACTTACAAGTGAAAATAAAATGTAATATTCACAAGTGAATGCATCATTTAATATTTAAATATGAATATACTGTATCATATTCACAAGTGTATATACTATATATTATTCATATGTGAATATACTGTGTAATATTCATGAATGAATATACCTTGTAATATTTAGATATGACTAGAATGTGTAATATTCACAAGTAAATATACCATATAATATTCACATGTGAATCTACCATATAATATTCATTTCTGAATATACTATGTAATATTCATTTGTGAATATACCATGTAATATCACATGTAAATATACAATATAAACAACATATATCATATAATATTCACATATGATTATACATTCATGTGTGAATATACCAATGTGATAATTAGAATGTGATAAATCGCTATTATTATGAACTAAAAGTATATTTTTAACATTTTTTATGTGTATTCACATGTTTTTCAGGTATCGTTATAACTCAATAAAAGAATAACATTTCAATCAATGGTTGGTTCATATCCCGGTGGTTGACAATTGGTTGACGTAACTGAGAAGATATCATTGACGAAGACAATATGTTTTTATATTCACGTGTAAATGTTATACAATTTAATATATTCTTCATTTTGATCGTGTTAAATTCAAATGCAAATGATATTCATTAACCAATATAATGTTGTTTGTCTTAGTATAATGTTGATTTTACATGTAAAATAATATTGTTACAATATACAAAAAAACTATTCACAAACCAATTCTTATAGTGTATTATTTATTTTTATATATAAAGGTTGTATTCACAAAATAAATAAATCAACATGTATAGTTTATTCACATAAATAAAAATAACAGATTACAATGATGTTTTTACTAGTGGGATTGAAGTTAGTAACATCATCAGTAAATATGTCGTAATGATTTTCTAAACTTTATTCATATATGAATAAATAGCATGTGATGATGATGTCATCACTAGTAGGAATGAAAATTTAGTGACATCATCAAAACAATTTGCCGCAATGAAGTTTAGTCTCGGAATTGGACGAAATTCGCATATTTGATGTAAAATGGTGTGATTTACAAAACTCACAGCTTCGCCGTGACGTATGGTGTTTTTCGGCCATTCGGGACTTTTAGGGCCTCAAAATGACGTTTTTCTATTTTTATAATTTTCCGAAAAAAAAGTTATCATTTATTCACATAATTATTTTATTAACCTAAAAAGATTAGTTGTATGTGAATAAATATATATTCTTATCAAATACTTTTTTTATCTTTAATTTTATATATTTTGTAGTCCTCGGTTTTATTGACAGTTTTATTCATTTGTGAATAATACATATAAATTCACATTTTATTATTACATATATATTCATTTGTGAATATTACATATGTTCACATGCGGATATAATTCTTATACGTTATTCACATATGAATTACAAACTTGCTTAGGACCTCAAAACAATGATTTTTTTTCGAAAAAAAATACATTATCATTTATGAATATTACATGTATTCGCATATGAAAATAATTTTTATATGCTATTCACATATGAATTACATAGTTGCTCTGTATTTTTAAAAGACATACATTGATTCTCGTGTAAAGGCATATTCACTTGTGAATATTACGTGATATATTTAGTTTATGCATTTCATCGAACAGTTTGCGTGCAAATAAATTAACTTATATAATTATGGTAAAAAATTAACAATTGAAGCCAATAATTACAACACAAATCAAATCCTCTCAAAATTGATCAATAATCAGTACGTTTAGATCAAAAATTGTGAAATTTTTTATGAAAAATGAAGTTTTTCAAGCCTGAAAAGCGATATTAAAAAAATTCTTCAAATATATGGTTATGTTCATGCACTTTCGATTGCTATCTGTTTTTTGATATTAGTGAAGGTTCGATTGATGAAGTTTCGATGACTGGTGATCGCAAAATGATGTGACATCGATAAATATGGATTATGTTTATCGATTTTGCTTGACATCAACGAAACTGGACAAGATTGAATCACGAGTTACACTTAATAGTATGAATAAATGTTTTTAATGATGAATCACAACATTTTGATGAAATAACGAAGATTTTTTATGAAGAATTGATGTTTTATAAAATGTCGATGTTTTTTGATGACGAACAGGTGACGTTGATGTTTTTTTGATGAAGAACAGATGACATTGATGAAGAACAGATGATGTTGATGGAGAAGATATGATGTTGATGAATAATAGAGGAACGATCCAGATGAATGAATAACAAATGATGTTGATGAAGAACGAATGAACGATTCAGAAAAACAGCGTGTCTTTAATGACTTAATCTAAATGTGTTTTACATATATAAAAATGATTGGCTGAGAATGATTCCCCCATTCTCAACCTATTATTTTTTCTCAATTGAACTTACCTCTATATATATATATATATATATATATATATATATATATATATATATATATATATATATATATATATATATATAAACTGAAAGCCCGTCTGTTGTGAAAGTTAAAAATAACATTAAAATATATATGTTTTTTAAAATGATTATGTTATTTATATTAAAATTAACATAATAATTTTTACATTTTATATATACATATATATATATATATATATATATATATATATAATCTCAAATATTTTGAAAACTATTATTCAATAGCATTTACCCACTATTTGTATCCAAATAAATCTGTATATGATCCTCAGTTTAGTGTTATTTTTTAATAAATGTTATGATCGACTAATTTAAAAATTTACATATGTGACTATCTTTTAATTTTGATGATAGATATAAATATAAATAATGTTATGTTACTCTTTAGCTATGATTGTTAATTAATTTGTAAAATAACTTTAAAAAATATACTTTAAAAAAAATAATTTTTGAATATTATTTTAATTAATTTGACAATA